TACCGGAAGCTGCCAAGCGAAGTATCAAGAGAAGCCTCGTCAGTTATAAGAAGGTTACTTATCGGAGAACTGAATAAAGAACTGACGAGATTCTTGTTTAATCTTCTTGTTGAAAGACAAGCTGGATAGAGACGAGGTGGCTTCCAGGTTACGTTTTGAGCCTGAAGGGCTTTTGGGTTCTTGTTTGATCTTGACTTCATCGTCAGGAGCTTGCGTAAAGAAGGTGCGGTGCTTTTGATTTTTCGATGAGGAACTCTTTGAACTTGGTACGGCCACTGGGTAACGTTTTTTGACGCGGTTGTCCACACTCGTCTCGGGGTGTTCGACGGAGTTTCGGGCCATCTCTCTCTTGTATTCAGTCGTGCTAGGAGGCATAGCGCGACTGGTGTACCCATCACGCTGAAACAACCAGATGATCAGCTTAGGAACCTAACATGTAATGAACTGGGCACTTACAATCGACTTGGCCCATATGAAGGCACATCGTTGGGAAAACCGATATAAGTAGTTCGGGTCCCATGGGGCTGACAAGATGGCACCATCGCCACCCAGAGCCCTTTCGAGGTGTTCATTGTAGATAGTCGCCGCTTCGAGTTCTAACTCTTTGGCCGCTTTGACCTTCTACAAAGGCATGACCAAAAGAATCAGAGACCGAAGCTATCTGGAAGTCACACGAGATTTAAGAGGAATCGTACCTTCGTTTCCTCTTTGGCCGAAGCTGTTTCCTCCTTGGAAGCGGCCAGTTCAGCTTCGATTGAAGTAGGTCCAGCGGTCCCTTTGATATACCCCATTGCCCCGATGGCCTGAATGGAAGCAACCGGGGAAAAGTGGTAATCAGATCACCGAGATTAAAGAGAACACCTGAGAACCTGAAAATTACACACCTGAGCATTCCGTTTTTCTTTGACTTGCGCTTTTGGAAGTACTATGTTGATTGTACCTTTTGAGGTACGACTTTTGTCCAAATTGTTAACCAACTCTTGATAACTTTTGTAATCTACCAATTTGGTTTTTTTGGAACCAACACTCGCATTCCACGTCAACAGTGGTGCTAACGCACTTTCAAGAACCACTTTCTTGATTCCTGGAAAATACTCGTCACAAACATCGCCGATCAAGTCTTTGAATTTGTTCAAAGACTTGCCATACAAGAAGACTTTGAAGTCTAAGAGGCGCCCGTCTTTGAAATCGGTCGAATCAATGATGGCGCCTGTAGGAGCTGGCGGTGGTTTCTTTTTGCCGGCGGTGACCTTCGAAGGAGATTGAGCTTTGGCCATTCCGGGCATCACATCAACAGTATCGTTGGTGTGAATCTTGAAAGCGACGGCGATGGTGAAAGATTGGCTTTCTTCCATCAAGCGACGGCTTTCCGTGCCTTGGCGCCAGAGGCGCTCAAGAGTGGGATGCCGCGCTGGAGCGTCGTTACCGTCGGTGAGCAGGTAGGGCGGATCGAAAACTACCAGAGAAATGACTCAGTTGGATGAAGATGGGAAATTAGAAAAAGGGAAACATTAGGATCGATGAACAGACCTTCGTCGGGATTTTCGCCTTCATGGATCAAATTGTCGATTGCTTCGCGAGGCATTTCTGACCCAGATGAATGAAAGATAAGCATGTGAACAATCCACAACAATATGGGCTCACTGACCGATTGGAGCTTTGAATCGAAAGGGCGTTTTCAAATGGTAGTTGACGATGGACGCACTAAGACGACAAAAAACACTAAAGAAAATGGGAGAATCAAACGTGAGATGATAGGCTCGGAAAGAATTGAAAACTTTTAACAAAAGAAAAAGAGTACCAAGTTGAAGGCGTGGTGATAA